GTTCGGGATGAACAATACTAAGGAGGGGGCAGTGTTGCGTCATCGAGTCACATGACTACCATGACGCAACGTTTCTAGAACTATCATGTACTTTGGGGAATGTTCTAGTTCTTACTAGATATAGGGTAGGCTGGTATATAAAAGAGGGGAATGTAATGTGTGGGTAGATAGTGAGTAACTGAACTGCAGTCGGAAGTATTGTTGACGTTCGTTGATTAGAGTTTGTTTTAACGCGATTGTTGAAGTTGAGTGTATCGGTAAAGTTATTTTCGGAAAGAATAAATCAATTTTATTAAGTAAAGAACTTGTGTCGCAAGTTTCGTCAGAACGAAGTTACGGAAAGTTAATTAACAAACGAAGACGTAACAATATAAAAGAACTTGCAAATTTAGGTCTCATAGACAAATTTCTATACAAAGCAATGCATACTTGTTCTAATCCTGGAGTGAGAGGATTGTATAAAGACCGTGTTTCTACGTGTTCTGGAACCAATTCCATCAAATGCAAGACATAAAGTGCTAATCGTTGGTCAGGTGGACCCAAGTGTATGTTGGTTGGTATATCTCTCTCTGCAACATAAGGATTCAAGTATTAACCCACTAAGAAGAATGAGTCTTGTTACATTAAAAAACAGCTGTTAACCTAACAAGCAAACTCTAATTACAATTACAGCATGATATCACTTTAGTCTGATGAACAAGTACAGCTGAATAATAATTTGTCAAACACCATTATATCACCCAGTTTGATGAATAAGTTACAGCTGAATAATAAAGGGGCAAACAACACACTTGCTCAAATATTTCCATAACATTTGTTTTTAATGTATTATTTTTATTTTGCTACATGAAATTATATAGACAAAAAAATTAAAACTGCAAACAACCAATAAACTCATTAAATATGAAACAATTAGAAATATTATCAAACATGAAATTATCAAGAATTATTAAGAATGGAAAAAAAAAAACATAACTAAGTATGAATAATATCACATAAATGATAAGATGTGATAAAAAGTTTACCTGAATTGAATTTATTAAAAACACAACATTAATAAATCTTGATTAGTTCAAAATGAACAGACTACAAAAAAAGAAGACTTAACAGATTATGAATGCTATTAGATAAATGTTTTTGCAAGAAGTAAAGCCAACGAAAAATGTTCTACATGAAGGATTTATGAAGTCAAGTGCTTAGTATATGGGCTTACCAAAGTCAGATATTTTGTAAATAGTATCTCCTATGTACATTGTTTCTGTGTCAGTGAATCGAGGCCTTGGGAGGTTATGAACTTCACATGTGTCCCAAAGGATTTGACGTGGTGTTTTACAATCTCTCCATTTACAGGGGCCAGAACTGGGATTAAAGTTCAATAAGAGATTTTCAGTTACATGAAATTTGGAATAAATCTGTACTTAAAAAAAAATTAAAAACAGCATGCATAACTATGATAAAACCAACACATATTACTACATAACAAAATTAGCCGATGAACTTTACCCAGTTTTCTATTATGAAAGCCATCATTTGACTTCTTACATACTGCCTTACTGTAACAAGTATAATAAACACAGAATTTATATTAAAAAAAAGTCTCACACAGCAATACACATAAGTACAAAGTTGTAGAAGGATGTAAGTCCTCCCTAATTACTAACAAACATACATATAGTACACAGATGTATAAAAACTTTGCAAGTTCTTATTATCAGTAAATACTTGATTTCTTTAAATGGTTAATATCTACATGCTACTAATTATAAAAGTGATCACTAATTTAAATTAATGAATTATTTTTTTTACTGCTTTGTTATGAGCCTTCTACATTACAGACAAACAATCAAGAATAAGTGCACAAAGCTCCTATTGAAACCTTACCCTAATACTAAGCAATAAAGTTATACATATTCTGGGATTAAAGAACACTGAGTTTTTCATTGTAATGAAAAACTTACATTTGGTAAGTTTTGGGAAGTCCACAAGTAGCATGATACTTTGTAAGATAACGGTTTTCTAAGTCTATTACTGTCTGACCAATCATATCATCTCCACTGATCAGGTCATAATCCAAAACAGACACAGTCAGGTCCTTATCTATTGGGAGTGTTCCATAAAGTTCAAACACCCTGAGAAGTAAATTGGAAAATATTAGTATATTATGATAATGCTTAAAATTATAAAACATGCATGTTTCTCATATTTTGAGCTTTACATGTTAGATAAAAAAAAAAGTCATACTAAAGTAACCTAGCTTGTAATGCCATACAATTAAAGCTCAAAACCAACTGAATCTAAGAAGACAAATCCCCCCCCCCCCTGCACACACACACAAAAAGTTTGTGGTTAAAATTCACAATATTCAGCTTCTTCTATTCTGAGGTTTATATTGCATTGACATCTTATGATGAAATTTTGCATATTCTGTGATATTTGAACAAAAGACACATATTGCACATTCTACATTGAGATTTTAAGGCAGTTATTTAAATTTTAACAGAACTCTTACCTTCTACTTATAAAATAAAATTCTGATAAAAAATTACATTTTAACTTTAAAAGAAGGGCTTATTAATGAGTCTAGCATTTTATTTCTATTGTATCTGAAACTAAGAGAAAAATTAAAACTTTTACAGTTTTTTTGTTGTTTAAAGAAAAGTTATCATTTTCCTAAACTGAAAATGTATTTCCAAACATACTTACTTCCACTGACACTAATAGCTATTTCTTGATCTTTATCTTTGACATCTAACATTGTGTTCACTTGCTCCAGTCTTTATATACCCCACTCGACTGCCCTCGGCAATATCTAATTTGCAAAACTTTACGCCGGCCCTTACATGCCCTCTATGTAGGTACTGTATATAAGCACTGTACACAGACAATAAAATCACTTTTTCAAGACTTACCACATTCCAGTCACTAACACCAGCTCTTAGTGGGAAGGGAGGGGGTCAGCGGAGGTAAGTATGTTTGGAAATACATTTTCA